GGGGGGTGAGACAAAAAAAAACAACTCGAAAGGTAACACAATTTTTTTTTATTTTTTATTTTTATCCTTTCTCTCTCTCTCTCTCTCTTTCCCACTCTATCCTTTTTATTTTTTTATTTTATTTTTCTTTCGCGTAAAGATTTTTTTTTTTTTTTGCTGAGGTTAAAGTTTTGCGTTTTGAAGATTTAAAAAATCAATTTGATGCTTTTTTTTTTTTTTTGAAATGAAGGGGGTAGGGGTAGGGGGAAGAGAGGAGAGGGAGGGGGAGGGAAAAGATAAAATCAATCAATATAAAAAAAAAAACTTTTTTTTTGTGAGAATTAAAAATTTTTTGTTTTTCTTTTAAAAACTTTTTTTTTTTTTTTTTTTTGATAAATTCAAATTCGAAATAAATTTTTTTACCGGAAAATCTTTCCCTCTCTCTCTCTTTCTCTTTCTCTTTCCCGGAAAAATGCAAATTCGACAAATCTCTCACCTTTCAAGTTAAAAAAAAAAAAACAATTCGCGACCGAATATTTGAAAAAAAAAAATTCCCCCTTTTTTTCCTTATTATTTTATCTTGATGACGTCATAAAAAAAAGAGCGAGAGAGAGAGAGAGAAATTATTTTTTTAAAATTTAAATTTATGAAACGTTCTGGAATGTTTTAAAAAATTAAAAGATCTATGAATATATATATATTTTTTATTTAAAAAAATGGGGGGGAGGAAAGTTTTTTTTTTTTATGGTCATTAATAGACTTATTAAAATGGGTTAATTAAAAATATTAATTATTAGTTTAAAACAATTAGATGGTTCAGCCATTTTTTCCTTTTTTTTTTTTTTTTTTTTTTTTTTAATTTATTCGACGAAAAAAAAAATGGGGGGGGGGAAAGAAATAGTTTTAAAAAAAAAAGGGTAAAATAAATTAATTAGAATTATGAAAATGATCTGGAAAAGGTTAAAAAAAAAAAAAAAAATGAAAAAGGCGAGAAACTAACAAAATCGTATTCTAGAAGGTTCGATGTTATCCAACAGGAAAAAAAAAAAGGAAATTTTACGTAGTTCGTAACTAAAACCTTTAAGCAATTAAGACTATAAAAAAAAAAAAAAAAAAAAAGTTTTCGTTTCCGTTTTAATTGTGGGAAAATAGTTTTTTTTATATAAAAAAAAAATAAAAATAAATAAATAAGGTTAAAAAGAGAGAGAGAGAGAAAAGATGACGTGGAAGTAAAAAATGAAAAAAAAAACGTTTGAGGGAAAAAAAAATGGCGTGGAAGAAGAAAAATAAAAATAAAAATTTTCGAACGAAAAAAAAAATTATTTATTTATTTTTTTTTTTTTACGATGAATAATTTATTTAAATAAATTATTATTATTATTATTATTATTATTATTATTATTCCGGGTAAACCCTGACTAATAAATAAAATGATTAATTGGTTTATTTTAATTTTTTTTTTTTACATTATTATTATTATTATCCACCATTAAACACGACAAGGCTACTTGTCGGAGTTTTTAAGTATTTATCCGAGGTTTCTACCCGATTCCTTAGGGACAAATACTCGAATTTCGGTGGTGCCACTTATTATAAGATAGCACCACATCAATTCTTGAAGGTCTTCCTGAGTCCGTCTTTTTCGATGGGAACGATTTGTCTCCTGAACTGGGCTCCAGTGACTAACATCTTTGGAGTGGCCAGGGTCAGAAGCAGTGAAATTCACGTTCTCGTCGAGCTGCCTCAGGTCGACAGTAGAACAAGATTTTTTGTTTTTGGTTCTTACTTTGTCTTGTTCTCATTTTTTTTTTGCTCTTTTTAAGCCAACAGCACG